GATGTGCTGTTTCCGCGTTCACGACTACGAGCAAATATGATGGGTTCATGTTGAGTTCCGGCCGTGACACCGTACTTCTTGTGGTGTTTCACGGTGCCCCGTTCGCAGGCACGTCTCAAACCCAGACCGATGAGCTAGCTCTTCTCGACGACGACGACAGCATGGACCCACAAGTCCCGAAGGACGAGACACAAGGAATGGAGATCCCGACAGGCTTTCGCATTCAAGAAGTTGAACGCGTTGCTCGTGACAGATTGCTTTTGCGACGTGGAGTGCTCGTTAGGCTGGGGATGGGGTGGTATGGAGGGTTGATCATTCAGCAATCTCAGCAGGACACTCGCCACCTTTACGACTACTGTGTGCAGCTGGAGCTAGACCAGAGTACGCGCAAGATGAAGCTGTCCTTGGACATGTACACCGGAGATCTGGATGCGGCGGTAGGCTCCTGGGTTTTACTTGAGGGCGTTAGTAGATCGGGGAGGGTACGCAGGACCAACGTCACCCTTGTGGACCAAGATGGTTGACAGTTGCTGCTGCATGCCTTGGTGTGTTCTTGTACCAANTAGACCAGAGTACGCGCAAGATGAAGCTGCCCTTAGACAAGTACACCGAAGATCTGGATGCGGCGGTAGGGTTTTGCTTGAGAGTGTTAGTAGATCGGGGCGGGTACGCAGGACCAACGTCACCCTTGTGAACCAAGATAGTTGACAGTTGCTGCTGCATGCCTTGGTGTGTTCTTGTACCAAACAACAACATTGGTCCTCATGCTAAACACTATTAAAACTCCGCCGAGTGCAGTTGACAGCCGCCAACAAAGTACGTCGTCATACAACGTACGCCAACAGGGCCAATTGGTGTTGAAATAAGAACAAGAACATTTCGCTGGAAAAAATGGGACGGCTAAATAAGAACATGGCCAATAAGAACACGTGCTCGGGTTGGGGTAGCCAATAAGAACTGACCCTCGCTCAAATTAGGAGGTTCTTAAGTGCGGGCCTCAACTGTATACCACCCCTCCCTGCTCTGTGTTGAGCAGCACACCACTCAACACGCAAAGATAGGCAACGACCGGTTGTGGAATTGTAAATGAGAGCATGGACAGCAGCGATGGTCGTCCCCGCTTTAAAGACACCATTTTTGAAGAAGACACTCCCCGCTTTAATAAGGACTCCAAATGTCTCTCAGAAACATGGTGCCCCGCAGATGAAAAAAAGTACGGTGGGTGTAGGGTTTTCCACCATTCGACCCCTCCCGGAAAATGTGCTGCAGCACCTGTAGATCCTGGATCATCAACAGCGGTCTGCTGCAGCCAGCCGCAAACTGCGTGTGGGTGTATGGAAATATTCATTCCATCTGCTAGCGGTTCGTCTGCTGCCGGCTTGAAGCCATGCGGCGAACCGACGTGCCAGTTCAAATCTGCACTGGTGTCACTGGTTCATCAGTGTCCGTGCGGGCGACCCATGCACGTGTTTTGTGGTCGGGGCATCAGAGAGGAAGGCCACGGACAGCAGAGAGAGTGCTCGGATTGCCTTTGGTGAAGTCTAGTGATGTTGAAATTGGCGTTTAACTTTGTGGTGTGTTGTGCCTCGTTTTGACCTTTTGGGAGGCGCGGTGTCCTCTTTGTCGCTGTGCTTTCCCGCCATTTTTGGTCTCTGTGTTTCTGCGTACCCTACATTTTGCTAGTGTCGTTTTACAACCTTCGATATTTCTCAGGTGCGGTGGCGAGATCCTGGGCAAGATATTCACGGGGAGGACAACGCCAAAAAATAAAATAAAGCATATTGTCTAATTGAGGGGGGAGGGGCATTCAATGTTCCGGTTCGCGTGGGGGGGTGTACATAGGAATTAGACTTGCTGGAAACCCCTGCCTCTTTTTTTTTTTCTTAATATGACACAACGAGTCCATCTCTATCATAGAAAAGAGTCAGAGACAGATTAACAATGGGATCATAGCGTCAGAGAAGACTACCTGTGTGTCTACGATTTCCCGGACAGCATATAGGGACATCTCCCCTGTGGGTAACAGGCTCAACAAATCAGTTTGGTAGCTGTCTTGTGTGTCTCATATAGGTTATGTTGGGAAGGTGCAGACGAAAGGTGTTGGGTACTGTTGGGTAGTCGGGCGTTTTGTGTGTCGCACCCTAATAGTTCTAACACATGCAATCTCCATCAGTTTACAAACATGTTCTCAGTTTGGTATGCACATGTGCGGAGTATGTGCGGCTGATGTGCCATCTCTATCATAGAAAAGAGTCAGAGACAGACTAACAATGGAATCATAGGGTCAGAGAAAACTACCTGTATGTCTACGATTTCCTAGACAGCATATAGGGACAACTCTCGGGCGACAGGCTCAAAAGATCAGTTTGGTAGCTGTCTTGTGTGTCTCATATGGTCAGTCCAGGACAATTTGTCCATTTTGTTTTTTAGCGATAACTTTCGAACAAAAACGATTTGGAAGGTGAAACTGCTTTGGCCGTGACGGCGGCGTCGAGCTGCGTCGATATCCGATAAGTTTTTTGTGTTTGGACAAAATGCGACTTTTTGGTCATAATGATCCACGGAACCCCTACCCCCCCCTCCGACCCCCCACGGGGCCCCCTAACCTCTTCACGGAACCCCCAAATCACACTGTAAATGTCCGGTAAGAGCCCAAACACGCTCTGAACGGGTAACCCTCGCCTCACAGGACACGATTTACAAAAGCGAACACCACGACACAAACACACAAAAATGATTATAATTAAAGTGAACACCACAAATACAAAAACACAAACACCACGACACACACCTCCGTCCACGCTTGCGCGTTTCGGACAGCTTATTTTCCTAGGAATCTCACCAACAACCTAAACGCTTCCTTCAAAGTTAAAGGCGACCGCGACCGCGGGCGCAGCTCGCGCTTTTCGCACAGCGAGAGCAGCGCCCTTTTCTGCTTGAACGATTTGAAATTCTTTTTCGCCCTCTTAATCGACTCAGTACGCAGCTCCTGCGCGGCTGCTAGCGCCTTCTCCTCTGCTTTCTTCTTCTCCTCCTCCGTCTTCCCTGCCCCTGCCCTCGCCAGAACCACGGAGTCACCCCTCTCCGTGGGGGAACGGTGGCTCAACCACTTCTTGAGGTCGCGGACCTCGAGGTAGTCCACCAATCCCTCGTCGTAGGCCTCGAGATACAGCCACGTCACCCTGCTCCACCCGCGAACAAACCCCAGCGGGACGCCACTCAAGGCGCCTGGCAGAATCTCAAGCATATGCGGGAGAGAGTACTCGCAGGAGAGGCGAAGGAGGTGCTTGACGTATCCCCAGTACCGCTCGATGGCGTTGAGCTCTGGGTGATACTTCGCCAAGAATATGCAGATGTGCCCCGCTTTCTTGAACATCTTTTCGATCTTGTTGAGCTCCATCTTGAACGCCTTGAGCTCTGCAAAAACTTTCCTAATGCAGCAGCGACGCCTCATGCCGACACGGTTGCCAGCCGCCCCGCCTTCTGTCCCCTCCTCTGGCGAGGCACCGTCTCCTCCACCGTCCTGGTCTTCGCGCGCAGCATCATCCAACGCCTGCTGCCGTGCCTCTCCGCCGCGGTTGAACGCGGTTATTGCTGCCTTTATTGCCTTCCTTTCCTCTTTGCACGCTTTGCACTCGAGAACCCGAATGGGAGCCTGGCCAGGAACGTCCCACAAGCCCATCTCCATGAGCAGCTGCTGTCCGCCTTTCGCCTGGCCGATCAGGCCTGAGGTACGGCCGGTAGTCCGTACTTTTTCGCCCGCTTTGAAGTCTCCAAGGCTGCTGCCGAACTTGGGCCTCTTGTATTTTGGATCCTTTTTCGCCGCCTCCCTCTCTTCCTCCTCCAGCTGCTCGGGCGTCTTTGCGGCGTAGACGTGCGTGTCGAAAAGAACCGTATCGCCCTCGCGAAATGTGGCGTGAACAAGGTTCCCCTGATCGTCGAGGAAATCGTCAAGAATGACCTGCCCCCCGCCCGGCTTCTTTTGGATGTGGCTAGCCACCAGTGCGCCTTCCTCGTACGCGGCGTGCCCCGTGGAGTTGTCGAAGACCATCACCATTGGGCGGTGGGGCTCACTCGTCAGCTCGTGGATGGCGATCAACCCCGGAATCTGCTTGCACATTCTGTCGTTGGTCCAGTACCCGTCCGAGTTTTGCCCCACGGTCATGATAACCGCCCCGGTGCGCGGGTCGTTCTTGGTTTTGGTCACTCCGCAGTCAGCTGGCATCGCTTTCAACAACTCCACCGCATCCTGTACGAACTTGACGGCGTGGCCATCCTCCCCGTCGCCCTCCTTCCTGCCGAAGTAGATCCCAGATCGCTCGTAGCGTTGACGGACTACGAAACACTCAGGCACGTCCCCGTCCCCGGTAGCGGGCCCTTGCGCGATGACTTCAACCGCCGGAGCGTACCCGACGCTCTTGTCTTCCTGCATCATGCCCCAGGCCTCCTTCCCGATCACCGCAACGCCTCTGTCCACGCCGATGATGTCAAACACGTGCACAGCCCGCCCTTCCCCCTTCTTCTTGATGGCGGCTCCTTTTTGACCATCCATCCACTGGCAGCCGCCATCGTCGTTCTCCTTCGCCGTCGTTTCGTCGTGGAAGTAAAGGGCCAACACCTCGTTATCAGGGAGTAGGCAGAAGTCTCCTTGCCCGTCAATTGCGGACACGTCGCGCCGGTTGAACGGCACCCGCGAGGAGTCGACGAATGGGGTTCGCTTGCAGTCGTGGCAGTCGCAGTCGGCAGAGATCCAGTTGAACTCTCCCACACGCTTGCAGTTCCTCCCGCGCAATTGCTCTCCGTCGCGGACGCGAACGTGCTTGTACTCCTCCTTGCCAGCCACCACACGCTTCGCCGGCCAGAAGAGCGCCTCTTCCTTGACCCTCTCCGCCTTGTAGCACTCCTGCACTTCACGATCAGGCACCAGGGTGTAGTGCCCCCCCCAACCGGTCATCTCCAGGTCGCCCGCGTCGACAGAGACACGGGTGCAGCAGCGGTCGTGGCCCGTTGCCTCCGTGAACTTGTCGCCGTAGACGAGAACGTGCTTGAAGTCCACCCCGCCGTCGGGCATCGTTCGTACTGCCGGCCAGAGCACCGGCTCCGCACAAGCGACCGCAGCGGTGATGTTGTCGTCTCGTCTGTCGTCCGTTGACGTCTTCTCCCGATCACGCGCGTCGCGGACCTTCACCATCACCACGGTTTCGACTTTTTCCGGGCTGTGATCACGAGGTTCGAGGGCGGTGAAGGGGGGGCGCATAGAGAGGGCGCGATCAGTATGGTACGCTTCTCTTCCCACGGCTGACAAACAAACTATTTTCTTCCGGCTCGTCGGGTGCAGGGGGGTGCAAGGTACAACAAAGCGATGGCCAACGAAAACGTAAAATATAAAAATTTAGGTTGGCAAAATAACAGCGCAGGGGACGAGCACAAGAATCGAGGCCACAACCGAACTGCTGCCCCTAACTTCCCT